AACGTTTTTGTGGGATGTGAGTATGGATCTAGATGCTTTTCTACTACTGTCAGATTAGTACTGGCAGACAATTATTCATACTCTCAACCATACTAAGGCTTACGTCATCAGGGATCCACAACCAAATCCAAGCTTTCCCCCACTCATCTTTCACACTTACAAACATTTGAATATTTTAACTATGATTCTATTAAATATAAGAGCACACGAAATAAGTAAGTGATAGAAAAATATAAAGTACAAGATAAAATTATTAACAAGTCTGCAAGAGAATATTTAAACTGTCAGTACCATTATTGGCGACGACAAAATCTAGTTTTTTATCATTATTGAAATCTCCAATGGCAATGAAGAATGGGTTGGAACCATAGTCCAACTGAACTAGCATAATGCTTTCGAAAGTGCCGTCGCCATGTCCAAGAAGTACACCTAGATAATTGGCATCATAATTCGCGACGACAATGTCTTGCATAGAATCGTTATTAACGTCATTTACAGCTAAAGAATATCGAGACGAACTTGAGCTTGTTGAATACGTCATTTGATTTCCAAAAGAACCATTTCCATATCCAAGAATAATACCAACACTGTTCAACTTACAACTAACAAAGACGATATCCACTCGACTATCATTGTTGAAATCACCAACAGCCATAGAGCATGGAAATGAATACAGGCCAGTTAAATATGTCATTTGATTTGCAAAAGAGATATTTCCATACCCAAGAAAAATATCAATATTGTGGGTGCGTGAATTAACAATGCCAATATCCATCAGACCATCATTGTTGAAATCACTAATCACTAATGACTGTGGTCGAGAATCATTTCCAGTTACTAGTATCATTTGCTTTACAAAAACTATATTGTCATATCCAAGAAAGACACTCACATCATTGCCCCACATATTGGCAACAATGATATCTAGTCGAGTGTCGTTGTTGATATCACCAACAGCTACAGATTGTGGAGAAGAGCCAACTGAATACCTTGTTTCAGTTTCAAAAGAACCATTTCCATATCCAAGAAGGACACTCACATCATCGCTTTTCCAATTGGCGACAACGATATCTAGTCGAGTGTCATTGTTGACATCACCGATAGCTACAGATTGTGGAGAAGAGCCAACCGAATACCTTGTTTCAGTTTCAAAAGAACCGTTTCCATATCCAAGAAGGACACTCACTTCATCGCTATTCCAATTGGCGACAACGATATCTAGTCGAGTGTCGTTGTTGACATCACCAATAGCTACAGATTGTGGAGAAGAGCCAACTGAATATCTTGTTTGATTTTCAAAAGAACCATTTCCATATCCAAGAAGGACACTCACATCATTACTATCCAAATTGGCGACAACGATATCTAGTCGAGTGTCGTTGTTGACATCACCAATAGCTACAGAACATGGATAAGAGCCAACTGAATACCTTGTTTCAGTTTCAAAAGAACCATTTCCATATCCAAGAAGGACACTCACATCATTGCCATCCTCATTGGCGACAACGATATCTAGTCGAGTGTCATTGTTGACATCACCAATAGATACAGATGTTGGAGAAGAGCCAACTGAATACCTTGTTTCAGTTTCAAAAGAACCATTTCCATATCCAAGAAGGATACTCACATCATTGTTATCCTCATTGGCGACAACGATATCTAGTCGAGTGTCGTTGTTGACATCACCAATAGATACAGATGTTGGAGAAGAGCCAACTGAATACCTTGTTTCAGTTTCAAAAGAACCATTTCCATATCCAAGAAGGACACTCACATCATTGCTACCCCAATTGGCGACAACGATATCTAATTGAGTGTCGTTGTTGACATCACCAATAGATACAGATCGTGGATAAGAGCCAACTGAATATCTTGTTTGATTTTCAAAAGAACCATTATTGTATGGAACAAAGATATCCACATGATCACGTCCATCGTAAGCGATAGCGATCTCCGATCGTGCGTCATTATTAAAATCACCAGAAGCCATAACTAACGGAGGTGTATCAAAGCTAATTTCATAACTTGTTTGAATTGCAAATTTTCCCTGCCCATTTCCAAGCATCATATCTACATGCTTTGTACCATGATTGGCCACAGCAATATCCACTTCACGGTCACCATTGAAGTCCCCAACTGCCATAGAAATCGGATGAGAATTCATGCCAGTGCTGAGCATCATTTGATTTTCAAAACTACCGTTCCCATATCCAAAAAGAACACCTAAATTATTAGTGCCGTAATTAGCTAAGACGATATCCAGATTAGTGTCATTGTTCAAATCACCAATGACTACACATCGTAGTCTAGAACCAACACCAGGTGCCAAGCTCGTTTCATATGTAATCGCTCCTCTATTATATTGCAGCAGGACACTCACATCACTGCTACCATCATTGGCAACAACGATATCTAGTCGAGTGTCGTTGTTAACATCACCAATAGATACAGATCGTATAGAAGAGCCAACTGAATACCTTATTTGAGTTTCAAAAGAACCATTTCCATATCCAGGAAGGATACTCACATCACTGCTCAACCAATTGGCGATAACGATATCTAGTCGAGTGTCATTGTTGACATTACCAATAGATACAGAACATGGATAAGAGCCAACTGAATACCTTGTTTCAGTTTCAAAAGAACCATTTCCATATCCAAGAAGGACACTCACATCATTGCCACCCGAATTGGCGACAACGATATCTAGTCGAGTGTCATTGTTGACATCACCAATAGACACATATGTTGGAGAAGAGCCAACTGAATACCTTGTTTGATTTTCAAAAGAACCATTTCCATATCCAAGAAGGATAGTCACATCATTGCTACCCGAATTGGCGACAACGATATCTAGTCGAGTGTCGTTGTTAACATCACCAATAGCTACAGATGTTGGAGAAGAGCCAACTGAATACCTTGTTTCAGTTTCAAAAGAACCATATCCATATCCAAGAAGGATACTCACATCATTACTATCCTCATTGGCGACAACGATATCTAATTGAGTGTCGTTGTTAACGTCACCTATAGCTACAGATCGTGGATAAGAGCCAACTGAATACCTTGTTTGATTTTCAAAAGAACCGTTTCCATATCCAAGAAGGATACTCACATCATTGCTACCCGAATTGGCGACAACGATATCTAGTCGAGTATCGTTGTTAACATCACCTATAGATACAGATCGTGGAGAAGAGCCAACTGAATACCTTGTTTGATTTTCAAAACAGCCATTTCCATATCCAAGAAGGATACTCACATCATTGCTATCCTCATTGGCGACAACGATATCTAGTCGAGTGTCGTCGTTAACATCACCAATAGTTACAGAGCATGGATCAGAACCAGTTGAATAGCTTGTTTGATTTTGAAAGCCTTCGTAACGTCCAACAAGAATATCAATGGCACCAGTATCATTGTTTACAACGACAATATCTAATCGGTGGTCCTTGTTGAAATCACCTACGGTAACTGAAATCGAAGAAGAAGATCCGGTTGGATGCATAATTGGATTTGCAAATTTGCCGTTCTCATATCCAAGAAGTATGGCTATATTGTCAGCGCCTTTATTCGTGGTGATTATGTCCAATCGATTATCTTGATTGAAGTCTCCTACCCAAATGGCAATTGGAGAAGCAGAATTAATGGAATAGTTGACTTGATTAGCGAAAGTTTCATTACCATTATTTAGGAGTACACCTACTTCATGACTTCCAGAATTAGCGATAGCGATATCGAGAAAGGTGTCTGCATTGAAATCATCAACGACAATGGAGTATGGTTGAGAATCAATGCCAGTTGAGATGGTAATTTGCTTTGCAAAAGTGCTGTTGCTATTTCCAAAAAGTATCACAATATTGTTAGTGCCATAATTGGCAATAGCCAGGTCTAAATAGTTGTCATTATTGAAATCTCCAGCAGCTATTGAGGACGGAAAAGAATCGTAACCTATCGGATATGTAGTTGGAGGCGAAAAACTTCCATTTTCATATTGATAGAGTACACTGATACTGTGGTTTCCGTAATTGGCTATGGCAATATCAAGTAGTGTGTCATTGTTGAAACGAGCACCAATAATCGCTATCGGACGAGATGAGGCTGTTGAAAGTTCTATTTGATTTGCGAAAGACCCATTGCCAAATCCGTGAAAGATAACGATATTGTTAGTGCCAAAATTTGCTACTGCAATATCCAAGTAAGAATCGTTGTTGAAATAACCAACTGTGACCATGTAAGGACTTGAGTAGGAACCAGTTGAATATGAAATTGGACCTTTAAAAGTGCCATTACCATATCCAAGATAAACAGTTATCGTGTTAACTATATGATGAGCAATAACCATATCCAAACATGTGTCATTGTCGAAATCACCAGCGGCAACAGATCGTGGGCCATACTTGTATTCAACTGGTTTTTGAGCCGTTGGTTTGAATTTGAGCTCACATTTTTGAACTAAACAACCGATGAAAAGCGGTGTGATGACTGATTGGTTGCTCAAGTGCGACTATCACTGTTTGATCGTATTGGATCCTTACAAGTTTTATAGTATGCTGTCAGAAATTGTCGTATTACTGTATTTGTATGCAACTCAAAATCAATCATCTTTCATTAGGATTCTACTTAGTTTCTTGAAATTCAGGTAGAGCTAGATATATGCAGCTATATCATGCAAGTTAATTTTCTATTTCCTTTCTTCGATTTACTCTAGAATTTGTTCAAAAAGTGCGTCATCGTTGAGAATGAAGACGAACATCAACGAATACAATATGAGTGAAGTGTGTAAGATGCACTGAATTACGTGATCAAATGTGATCATTTCCACATTTTATAATCTCTTTTTCTAACATTTACTTTGCTAAAAGTTTGATATAAAAGATGAAAGTTTCATATTTTTACACGCTCAAACGGTTATCAAAATTATTGTGTTAGGTAATACTTTCAGAGGTTCTATTAGTATTTTGAATTAATGATTATATTAAGAAATAGAATATAAAAATAGACAAAACTATGAGGATACAGAAAGGAATGTGAATCTACTTGGCGGGTAATCATACACGAATAGCACGATATACGAGCGAAGAAGAAGAGATAGATGACGCAGGAAATGACGGTCTTCGTTGTAAATACAGACGTTAGTGGTTCGATAATTTTTGTGTGACACATGCGCAGTTATTTAGTTCAACTTTTTTTTTCTTACAATTATAAAACTATGACTTCGATCGACTTATTCCATCAGAAACGCTCGTACGTGTTATTTTGAGTTTTTAATTATATATTCTCCATGTGATCTTATTTTATCTGTAGAAAGTGGCTAACATATTAATAAAAAAGAACATACCAGTAGCTTTTGGTGAAGTGAAACAAACAGTCAATATACCAATACACATTGCTATAATTGTGAATACAGCAAATGCACCTGCAGTAATTGAAGATCGATGTCGTGACCAAGGCGAATATTGTCTAATAGAGACATTCTATACATTATTATGATTGAACGCAAAAGAAAATTATATACAAAGGTGTCGGAGCAATTGACCACTTCTTTGTTGTATTAGTAGCAGTGGCACATTTTGCTGAATTAAATTCATTTTGCGTTGAGTTTTTACATTGCTCATTGTCCACATGAGGATGTTGTGCAGCAAGTGAATTATCAACTGAGATAGCATCATCACTCGTAGAATTTTTATTCATCTACAGTAAAAAAAAAATATTTAGTAAAAGATAGTTTTCAGTAAGTATTCATTGTTCACTAGAATACTTTTCTATAAATTACCTTTCAAGTTATCGATAATGCCTTCCCTATGCTGAAAAGTTGCAAAGTCTTGAAAAATTAGAAAATATCTAAAATAACAGAATTAATTACATTAGTAATCATAATTTAGAATATTAAATGGTTACATATCCGTTTTCTTTTGAAAAAATTGCTTCTTTCTTGGGTATGGATAGCCTCTTAATGAATACCAATATAATCACGCTATGTCAAACAAAGACAACGCTTCAAAAAGTTTCGATCTTATCCAAAAGCAAAATATAGATAGGTATTAGAAACAAGAACATAGAACACAGTGTGAGCCAGTACTCAATGAGGTATGCTTTCACAAAAGTTCTTTTTTTGTGTCAAATTGACTCAATGTACTGAACTCTATTTGTTAATACATGTTTTTGCTTTCAACTCATTAGTTTAAACATTTGTAAACGTTCCATTGGGAACGTTTTCTTTATTGATATGTCTTATTTGTTGATAGCTTTGGTTTCGAAATCTTTTTAGTCAGTGAAAATATACTTTATTCATTAAATGATACATTCTATTGTTGAATATGATTTAGACGCGTTTACCAATGAATTTAAATTTTTTTTTGAAAGTATTTAATTATTTCTATAAGGTATTTTGTCAATTGAATCATTACCGATCGAAGACTCGGAAAGGTTTTTCATTTCATTCAATCAACTATACATAACTCTAGTGATTCGACTAAGATAGTCGTGATTATGATAGGATTCAAGCTGCAGATGTGATGACTATCTAAGACCTTATTCTAGTTATGGTATATCAAAAGTAGTGGCGGTTTCATCGCAATTTCGTATAGACGACTTGAGAAAATTCTCTTTTTATATAGACTAATAGTAAAAACAAAGCGCTACATTTGTACACTATTTGATCATTATTCATCCAATATTGTAATAATAAAATTTTCGTTAGACTTGTTCAGCTATGATATGTAACGACGACACTAACGGGAAAATAATGAAGAAATATTTTTAGAATAACTTTTGATAAAAATAAGATAGAGAACTGTGGTTTTAACGGCTGGAAAGAGAGGATGAAGATGTATTATATCAACTATATTAGCCTTTTCTAATGTGATTACTGAGTTTTCTTCAATTGCTTTTCAAAATGTCGGGAAAATGTTTTTTTTTATTAAAAAAGAAAAAGCAGAAAAAAGGATTCTTTCACAGCATTCGCTAGGAAATCGACTTAGAGTATCGACTAGAATACCGTAGAACTGCTTAATCATAAAATTTAAACTGCTAATATTTTCGCACTCTTGTAGATCTTGATTTCATTATTTGAGTGCAAGTCTGATAAGTGAAAATTCACTGTGAATAATCCAAGGGATCATGTTTATTTTCGAAAAGATGGGCCAAACAGCTTCTACAAATTGATTAGAAAGTTTCGTGATAAATGATTTGATGCATCTTCATCCCCTCTTTCCAACGGTTAAAACTGCAGTGCTCTATCTTATTTCTATCAAAATTTATTCTAAAACTATTCCTTCGCTATTTTCCCCTTACTGTTATCATTACATATTGTAGCAGAACAAGTCTAATGAAAATTTTATTAATTACAATATTGAATGAATAATGATCAACTAGTGTAGAAATGCAGAGCCTTGCTTGTACTATCAGTCTTTATAAAAAGAAAATTTTCTCAAGCTATCCATACGAAATTGAGATGGGACTGCCACTACTTTTAGTATGCTCTAAGTATATGTCAGCTAAATCAGGCAAAACAGGACATTTACACTTTTTTATTTGAGTTTTATTCTCTACGACAGTGAATTTTTTAGATAAATTCTTTTAGCATAGACTTATGTGAGAATGTTTGGTGTTTCACATGGTTATTAATTAAAAAGTAATTAGCGAATATCTCGCTAACCAGATGACAAAAAAAATTTGAAAACTTCACGACAGGCTCTAGGGCATCAGTTGCATCTATGGTAAAAATTTTCAGCAAGATTAGACTTCAAAAAAAAATTCCTCCAGAAAAAAAAACGGGTTTTCTAAAGACCCAAAAAAGTGCAGGAACGAAAAATTTTGTCTTATAATCATCTAGAGACTCTGAGTAATGATTTGTAACGTTTGAAGTCTATTTCGAACTTTTCTGTTAGTTACAAGAGCATCTTCTCGGTTGTGTAGTCGTACTGCGTCGCGTCAGTAACAACAAGTAAATCGGTTTTTTTTGAATAATCTTGGAATGCTAAGAAAAAATTTTGCATATAGATTTTATAGCTTCAAGAGTCATCTACGAGATGTCCTATTTAGTTTTCTAAAATTGTGCATGAAATTGGAGTTTTTAAAAACTAAAAGACATGAAGTGAAAATCGATGTCCTTTTTGTGTCACATCGCTAACGTTAGTTTGCATCTAGAGTACCTTAATGTCCATGCAACATATAAAAATCGAATCTAAGAAAGCTCATTATCCCGAGATACACATATTTTAATTTTGTGAAGTCACATCGCTAACGAATGGTTTAGCCCATATATATTTTTATATACTGCTTTGACTCTAGTGTTTCGTAATCCGCTGACAACATCTTTGAGGAAAGGTTGGAAAGGTTTTTATAGGACTTTACGTATATGTTCTTCCATGATCGCAGAAATGTTTTTTCATAATCAAAAGAATGAATCTAAAAATGAGTGATTTTTCGAATCATAATATAGCACTTTTAACACCGGAACAAGTTTCATTAATCAAAATGGAAACGTGGACTAACACATTTGATTAATTTGAATATTTACCTAATTTATGTAGTCATTACAATGTTACTTATTTATTATTCTCTTTTTTTATTTCTTCTAAAGGGAAATCAAAAGGCTTGTGCGAGAATTTCTTCAACTCATACCATCCATTGAAACTTATATCAACCTGACAGGTTCGATTTACAATAAAAATTAAAATTCTAAAAAGATTTCACCTA